ACATCTTGATGATGTCATTATTTTCTCTTCGAGATAGATATTCTATCCATTTTAGGTGTTACTGCTGTTGGGAGTCCTCAAGTCACGTTGTTTTTGTTATTCGCTGCAGATATTTGTGATTCTGTAGCGCCAGTCCACGGAATTTGAAGAAGGGTTGTTCTCTCGAACACCTACAGGGTCCATTCATTCGAAGCCATTTTTAATCATTGATCTGTAAAAGTGTTTGTATACAGCTGACAGTTTAAATATTTCCTGACGAGTTTTTTTTCATTATTTAATGTTTTGATTTGGTAGCAATTTGCTATACTGGATAAAGCTACCCTCTGTGCAGTCTATCATATTTTCAATTTCCATCTCTCCCCTACAAAGTTCGTTACAACGGATCCAGACGCCGAATTCTTTAAGTATTCTTTAGTATTTACTAATTCCCCAACCTGAATTTTTATGATGGATTCAATTTACGTGCCTTGAATTCTTTAATTCCAATCCCAGCTCATAGTTTCGCTTTCGGAAAGGTTTATCATGAGTCCTACATTTGGGATAAACATAGGATCGAATGTTGAATCTGAGCTAATTGATTGTCAGATAAATCCTTTCGATTTTTTCAATGTTATTTGAATTTAAAGTTTTATAGCCTATTCTTCTACTACGACCTTCGTTATTGACCGAATCGTTAAAAATGTTTAATATTAGGATTAAAATAAGTGGAAAAAATACAAACAAATTTATTTGACAACCCTAAACCTACCAATGACTATTTTGATTTCGTTTTTAGAGAATAATTGACTTGTTTTATCAAATATTCAAGAAACTTTGTCCAACTCCTTAATTTAAGCTACGAGCATTAGACTTAAAATTATAAAAAAATATTGCAGCCTCTTCTTTGTCCCTAACACCCCATCTATTTAAGAGATAAGAATGTGTATATATATATATATATATATATGTGTGTGTGTGTGTGTGTGTGTGTGTGTGTGTGTGTGCGTGCGTGCGTGTGCGTGTGTGTGCGTGTGCGTGTGTGTGTGTATGTGTCTGTGTGTGGGGGATGTATAAAATGAGTCTAATCTTCCTTGTCGGCTGTGTTCAATGAAAGATGTTTCCAAGAAAGGTTACTGCCATAATATATATATATATATATATATATATATATATATATATATATATATATTAAGACATGTCTCATTGAATGTTCTAGTCTACTTATTTTCGATAAGATCCTTTCATACTCGCAGATAAGTTTTTTGGTGTCATTATTGAGAGAAAATCGATGTGTTTATACATATTTTTTTTATTTCGAAGTACTTTCGACATATCAATGGTCATCATCAGGGTATTGTTCGTTATATATTAAATATTGTAGTATTCCTTATTTTCAAAGGGAAATTGTTGTATTATCTGAAAGTTAAATTTCTTTTTTTAAATTTCAAATGGAGTGAGGAACGCTGCGTCAGTGCGTGACCGCTAAAACCGTTTAATGCGAGGTAACTAAGTATCGTTTGGAGAGTTTTGTTTTTAAGAAATGAGTAGTAAAAAGAGAAACTATTAGTACAAACCTTGGTATTTTAAACTATCTACTACACATATTTTAAAAATATTGTAGTGTATTCATAATTAAATACATTAAGATTTGGTTTAATTTTTTTAATATAGATAGCTAATAGCTTCAGTTGCTAAATGCAAAATTTTCCATTGGTTAGATTATTTCCTGAACCATTGTATCTTAGACATGATTAAAGATATCTTACTGGAATTCTCTGAGGACCTATAAAAGTATTGAAATTCTACTTCGAGCAATAACAATGTATAATTACTCTCCAAGGTTAACAGAAGAATTGTGATGAAATCGATCATAAACAAAAATGACATGTTCATCATAAATTAATCATAGCTAAAAATAGTGAGCTCATGAAGTACTGAAATGAAGTTAAATTATAGAATTATTCTTCCAGGATTGTTTTCCAACTCATTCAAGATGATCTTCGCCCTCTCTAACCTAACTTTCTGTCCTGGAGTAACAAGTTGCCTCACAGGTTTTACGAACGGTTTCATTTTCAAGTCTTTTTTCACTGCTCTTATGAATTGTTGGATCTTTTCTAATTGATCTCTTTAGCTCTAAGTTAAAATGGTGATCCCTATTCCTGTTTTGAGGTCCTGGTCCAATTTTCCCCTCTATTTCCTCTTTTTTAAACTTATTCACCACTCTCTTCATGGTTCTTGAAAGGACTTTGACCAGTTGGGTTTATCTTAAAAGCAATTCATGTTATAAAATAATCAGGTAATAATATTATCAACTGTATTAAGAATAACACATTTTTAAATTTGTATTAGCAATATAGGTTATTGTAATAATTATTATTTTATATAACCTTACTTAGATCCAACGCAAGAAATTAGTAAGAAATTTTTTACCTTTTTTAAAATGCAACTTCCAAAATGATATCAGACTAAAAGCCTTTTAATTCAAATGATAGTAACTCCGAGCTGACAATTTATACCATAGTATTTACCATATTATAATATTCAAAGTTGTTCATCGGATGTACCACCCCGAATAAAAGAGCAATCGTCTCATTAAGGAGATTCATATTTATTGAAATAACATAAAATATAAACGCCTCCTTTTTGTGCACTTAAATTCATTTTCCGGAGTTAATTCTTAAAAGTAATAATTATATTTTTATAATACATACTTTTCTTCCTCACATTTATTTCAAAATGTGTAATGACAGCAAACCAGCATGCATCTAATCATTTATTTAGCATCAAGTGATGTGGCACAAATTTTCCAGCCATACAGATTACGTTTTACACACCCATATAGCATCTTCACCAATCAAGTAGTTTCTAAACACCCGAGAAAAGCGTTCTAATGTAGCGTAGTGAATTATATAAGTATATATTGTGTTATGTATATTTAAATGTATTTAACAATGTTATAATGTATTATGAACAGAAAAACAGCATGAGCTCAAGAAACCCTTGCCTAAACTTAATGAAATTTGGCTCAGTACTGGGTTGTCGTTAAAGGTGCAATGTAGTCCTACATTGGTTTTGATATTATGTGTCGTTTAAGCTTTATCTCGGGAATACACATGCATAAAAATTAGAGATTTAGCATTATATAGATAATATATATATATATATATATATATATATATATATAGATAGATAGATAGATAGATAGATAGATAGATAGATAGTAACAATAATAATAATAATAATAATAATAATAATAATAATAATAAGGCTTAAACACTAATATTCCATGATCACAATTTATTCCATTGGAATCGTAAATACGATCCAATTCATCAGACCTACAAATTCAAAAAAAAAAAATTGAGTTCTACCTGCATTCTATTCTCTTGGATTTATTTTTTATACAAATATATATATGTATGTGTATGTATGTATGTATGTATATATGTATATTTATATATTTTAGATATATGATTGCATATGTATGTGTATATTTACCACTAATATTATCAATATATATATATATATATATATATATATATATATATATATAAAGATAAAATATGTATATTATTAAAAGTAAAGTCATTTTATCTATATAATGCTAAAACTCTAATCTTGTATGTATATGTATTCCTGAGATAAGGCTTATATATATATATATATATATATATATATATATATATACACACACACACACACACACATATATATATATATATATATATATATATATATATATATATATATATATATATATAATCATTTCATACAGACATTAACATAAAAACAATATTAATAGATAATCATAAAATACTTTTGTGCATTCAATGTAAATGAAAAGTAAAAATTAAATGAATCTATTGTGACACAAATGAAACAAATAAAAGATCTTACACGTCACGGGTGACATTTTGAAATCTTTATAAAATATTTAAAATGCACATAAAATATTGAATAATATATTCGTTTTCTTGTAATGTTGCGCTCTAGGAAGTCGTTTAAATCATGATGATCAGTTTTTGATACACGTAGAGGAAATGTATCTTTCTAACAATATCAGGATTCTTCTGCCAAAACGTTTGGTTTTAATAATTACAGCACATGGTTCTTGATAATGACCGAAATGACCCAGTTTATTCGAACAACAACAGAACGAAAACATGAACCTTTGTGGTCGGAACCTGCTTCAGTTTATTCCAAAATTGGTAAAATTACCAAAATATTGAAACAGATCTTGTCGGTTGACCTATTCGTGGTTTTCTGTATTTTCTTTGCTAGCAGTCTTGGAATATAGAACCCTTCGTGAAAAGGCTTTTACTTAACCTCGCCCGAACTCTAGACACACGTATTCGCAAACACACAGACACACCCACATACGCATTCACAAATACAGAAACACACACGCATACACCAACACACATACACACACATACGCATTCACAAACACACACACAAACACACATACGTATTCACAAACACACAGACACACACGCATACACAAACACAAAGACACACACATACGCATTCACAAACACACACACACATACGCATTCACAAACACACAGACACACACATACGCATTCACAAACGCTAACACACACACGCATTCACAGACACACAGACTCACACATACGCATTCACAAACACACACACACATACGCTTTCACAAACACACAGACACACACATATGCATTCACAAACACAGATACACACGCATTCACAAACACAGACACACGCATACACAAACACACGGATTCACAAACACAGACACACACATGCATCCACAAACACAGACACACACACTTTTCACTTGTAGAATTCTCTTTCGGTTTCTTGATTTCCACTCAACTTCAATCGACAAATTTTTTCTACGACTTTGCAAGTCTTTGCAGGTTATTTAAAGACATAAAATATATTTAGATTCTCAGAAATTGTCCTTTTGGAGATAGTAATAATTATGTGATACATGTTTAACTAATTAACCCATAGCTGGAGGTGAAGTGGTTGATTCATACCTTGCAGTAGTTTGCCTTCTTAAGCGGTCACCCATCTAGGTACTGATCTGGGTCGACGTTGCTTAACTTCGGTGATCATACGGGAACCAGTGTTTCAACTCGATTCAGTTAATTAAGCACAAGGGAATAAATGCCCCTTTTATATAAATTTCTAATCGGCCAATGATGTCGCACAAATTTAAGGAATATACGCATTTAAACATGGTAAAAAGTACGTGGTGAATTATGTCATGCATTATTATGGCGGGAAGAAACTTGAGCAAATATGTACCTTCGTGACCGCGGAGTGTCTAACAGGCGGTTTTTCCAGCGACACCGCGATTATTTTAACTACCTTCACTCCTCGGTAATGTTTATTGCTTCAAACAACGATGATTAGAATTTTAAAAAAAAATTAAAAAAAATAAACATATGAAAGTGAATTTATACATTTTCTTTGTTCTTGAGAATTGACAACAAAAATAATAAAAACTATTTATTAGATTGTTTATTGGAATGGTTGGTAAAACATTGATTAATTGCCGACTGATTTGAACTTTATAAAATGGTAAATAAGGTAGACTGTTCTAGTTCCACGTGCCATGTCTAATGGATGTCAGTTATCTCATGTTAATCCCCCTCTTCAAGTTCTCCATCACCTTAACCAAGTATTGAACTCACACTCTTTGTATCCTGTCACTGGATCTAACAAACACTTTTATCCACTGTGCCGTGTGCCCTTGGCAGTCTACCCCAGCGAGCGAAATAAAAGGTTCAGTTCGACATTCCAACCACCTGAAGAAGGCCGGAGCGTACAACGGCCGAAATGTTGTAATAAATATGGCAGCAAAGATGAGGATTGTAGTCCGAGCAATGTAAATATTGAAGAATTTCCATATTTCAATATTTTAATAAATATTTATAAATTTATTAATAAAAATTGTTTACATACTTATTTCTTTATAAATTGGTAAATGAAAAATATTGCATTGTATACATCTTAATACAAATGTATTAGTTTATACTAATTTTATTATTTATTATATATTTTATTACTTTATTATTTATTTATTTTATATTTATGTATTATATTTATATATTTATATTTATTTATATATATATATATTTATTATTTATTTATATATTTTATTAGTTCTATTATTTTTATTAGTTTTGTAGTTTTTATAAGTTTTATATAAAAGTATTCTTGTAAATAAACAATCGACTAAATAAACACTGCTTAATATTTTTTGTAAATTCTCAAGAACAAAAAAGGATAAATTCAATTTCATCATATGTTTAGGTTTTATTATAATTCTTATCATCACCTTTTAAAACAATAAACATTGCTGAGGAGTGAAGGTAGTTAAAATAATAGCGGTGTCAAGGGAAAAACCGTTCTTTCAACAGTTTGTTTTTGTGCGGACATAGTGGTCCATGCTTGTTAGAGTTTGTTTTAAGCGACTTTGAAAGTAAAATAGTTGTTGGAAGCAGACAGTCGAGTCTAGGTTTTTAAAAAGAAAACTTCTCGTTTTACACGCAGCCATCAGCGAATGGTCAGAAAAACGTACCAACAGATCTGAGTAAAAATTCTGTGAGCGTCAAACTCCTGTTTATAAAGAAATGCTTGACAATGACCAGACTAAGCTGATAGAAAAGCCAGCACTAACTTAACTAACCACTTTTTACAATGAAGGTATGCAGAAGACCATCTTTGAACGTACAACACTTTGGACCTTGAAGCAGACGGGCTACAGCATCAAAGAACGATGGCGGAACAATCGGAGGCTACAATTCACGAAGGATCACAAACATTGAAAAATAGATGAATAATTTACAATGTGTTTTTTTTATGTAAAGTTTTCATTTTATGTCATTAGCATAATCAATAACATAATCAATATGATAATCATTAACATTATCAATATGATAATCAAAATAATTCAATTATTTTTTGTAGTACCGTATGTAATCGTGTAACGCGCGTATTGTGCAACCCCCAAAATTTTCACTTATAAAAAATGATTTTATCCTGAATCTCATGTATCATGCGAGTTCCTTTTTGAGAGACCAAATTACAATAGACTAACCTCTTTTCCTCTCTCCCTCTTTATCCCATCTTCTAGTTAAATGCGTTAAAAATTAAAATATAATGATAAAAGTATCGTTAGTAACGCTATACTCGTTGCGTAAACGCGTACAGCCATAAACCAACCAACGAGAAAATATCTTATAAACATACACAATGGAAAAGATGCATATTCGCTATGTTTGTATTTTATAATACGATACTAATATATGAATATTACATGCATTATTCTTGGATTCAGTTAAGTTTTAACAAAATCATGTTTATTTTATATACAGCTGTAGTTTTTGAATACAGTAAATGGATATATACTTTGGTCAACAGCGTAGTCAGGGCCAGCAGTACATACACTAATTTTATATCTCATGTATTATATGATCCCCCTTAAAAAGAGCTTCAAAATTAGGTCTTCAAAAGTCACATGATACGTGGTATAGAGGGTATATTTATTATTATTGTTTCATTTTTGTTAAATGTTTGTCTGTCTTCTTTGTTCCTGTTCATTCAATAACCCAAATTTTAAAATAATCCATTTAGACATTATCCTAATAGGATTCTCCCTCAATTTCGAGGGTATTGGACACTTTGTGGAGTAATACTTAGGAAGCCAGTCTCGTTAGATCAATTACGAGTGGTGAATTCGATTCTCACTTGGCGCCCCATATTTCTAGCCTTGTGCCACAACTAAGCGATGCTTAATAAATCACTATCCCATTCGTTAGATTTACATATAAATTTAATACATTAAGTGTACTATTATGGGATGTAATATTATTATGGGATGTAATATTGTATATTAATGCATGTTAATAAGTTCGCCAATACATTTTACAGAGCAAATGTCAATTACTAAACATAATGTCTTTCTTTTTCAGTACAAATGCATCAAATAGCATGCATTGAATATTTCGGATCAATGCAATTATTAATCCATATATATATATATATATATATATATATATATATATATATATATATATATAACGCAATACACATTCAAACACATTCAATTACAAACATACAGGTTTCTAACGAGTTGATAGATTAATATTGAATCGGAAATTTTTATTACTTAAGTTTTTTTTATTATTTTAGTGTTTGAAAAAGAAGCCCCATTTTTATTTTAAACAATGTGTATTAATCACGTCTTGGGTGCGCAGGCCGATAGATGTAATACACATTGTTTAAAATAAATACATGAGGTTTATTTGAACGGATATGCACTAACAATAACATGTTATATATATATATATATATATATATATATATATATATATATATATATATATATATATATATATGTTGAAACCAAGTTAATGGTTAAAGAAATAACAAAACAAGTGTTGTAGATATATCATATATTAAACAGTAATTACAAAAGAAAGGTGAGTGTGGGTCGGTTAACCAGCGATCAATCTATTCGATTGTTAATATTTAACAGCCACCTCGACCACCTCCCACGAGGGATGTATGTGGCCCAAGGCCGAGATTACCGTGGGTTCTTCGAGCTGGTAGGCTCTGCCAAAAATATTCCCGTAAAACCTGCATAAATGGGTCCGGGCCTGTGGTTTATACTGCAACTATGCTGAGCAGACCTTAGTTACAGTTTCTGTGAGAGAGCCTGTTATCTAGCGTGATCAACAATCTGAACAATACCAGCGGACTAAAAAACTCTCGGTCACGATGACTTGTAACTTCGTGCTAGCATAGCTATCGACTGCCCCCAAGGGAATCCGTCTACTCAATTTCACTCACAAGGCTTTGTTCAGCCCGTGGTATGGTTTTTGGGCACTTTCCTAAGGTACCGTACGCTAGGTCGCCTCCTACGAGCTGATTAAATCAGCAAGTCTACTTTCTGACAAATCAACTGTGGTGAGAATCGAACCCGTGTCTCATGGTCAGAAAGCGAACGTTCTAAGCACTGGACCAAATTGTTAAAGAACCATTGACCTTGCACTTAAAAATTTGACATAACAAATTTAGTTTTCATGAATTTTTAAAGGACGATATTAGTCACACTTTTGAATGTTTTTTTTTTTTTGTCATGCATTTGTTAAAAATTTTATATTCATTTATATATATATATATATATATATATATATATATATATATATATATATATATATATAAATAATAAGGAAATTTTGTGTGAAAATTTATGTATTTTTGATCAACAGAAATAAATTTTAAAACAGTCAATATGGCCGTCATATAAAGGTATTGGTCAAAAACGCAAAAAAAGAAATCGATAAATTTTTACAAAGCACAAGAAATTGACAAAATACAGAAAAAATGAAATTCTTATTTTTATGTTTACCATAATGCAAAAATGGGGAATAATTGAAATTGTTTCTTAATAAATACAAATATTCTATCATATATACGATATATATATATATATAAATTGATCCAATTTAAAATATGCGAATTGCCGAAAAATAATAAATTAATTCCTTTAAAACTTGAAAAAAATACAGATGGCGCCATCAAGAACATGATAGATTTTATTGTCAATTTATGTTTACGAAACGCAAATATTGTTTTAGAACATGTCCATTTGAGTGAGAAAATTAGAATATTAATCATATATAAACTCGGGATAACATCGCAAAAATTAAACAAAAACGTATAGGCTAAACTGCAATACTTAAAAAAATCCTATCTAAATAATCTATTTAAAAATATTATATTTTGCCGAAAATTATAAATAAGCGCAAAGCTTTATTTATTTTGACGTTTTATTCCTTTATGAACATTTTAGAGAACAGAACGAATAAAATCACAAATAAATTTACACCGAGCATAGAAAAACAAGCGAAAAAGAAATGTCTTAAAAAATCTCTTTCGACTTGAAAGCACATCAATATGTACGATTTCTAGTCTTTGACATTACTGCTTATTTCCGAGTATTTCCGAGTATGATCATCTGCTCAGACCAATTTTTTATTCTTCAATACCCACGGTGACAACTTTATTTATATTAAATCTATATTTTAGTTTAGTTTCCGTTTAATTAGGTTTAAATTAAAAG